TTTTTTTAAATGGTGCATAGCATGTCTTCCTTGCCTTACAAAGATGTCTTGGGGCTGGGGAGATAGCTCAACAGTCTAAGTGCCTGCCTGGAAAGCGCAAGGACTTGGGTTCAATCCTCAGTACTGTATGTGTGGCCCCGTGCCATGCTGGTCACCAAAACTGGGTGTGGGGGGCACACCTATAATCCCAGCGCTGAGGAGGCTGAGACAGGAGGATCACTATGAGTCTGAGCTGTAAGACCTTATACCAAACACATGAAAGATTTTTTTTTTTAATTTTAAAAAGATGTTTTGGCTTCCCTATTAAATACGGGCAAACACTTTCTTTGGAGATTTCCAACCCCCCAAAAAAAGGGAAAACTCACAATTTCTCTCCAAGTTTGCAGGCCTACTTCCAATGCTCAGGGAAATAGCTAGTCTTTTCTGACATAGGCTCCCATATCCAAATTAACAGGTAAGAGGTTCCCCCCAAAATTCAACAGGAATCTAAGACAAGAGGGACTAGCTGATAGAGGAGCTGGGCTAGCTGGAACATTAAACAGCATAAAGGAGAATGGTAGAGAAGGGAGAGCGGGGCAGAGTCAAAGTCCAGCCAGGAACTGAGGGCTCCAGATGCAGAGAACTCTGCACCCGAGAACAGGCCTGGAATGAGGGATTCAGTCCTCAGGTTTGGTTTAAAAGCACTGACTGCCACAGACTTCCCGCATCCAATCAGCCAGCTGGACAGGAATGTTCCACACCTGGCAACTGGAACACTCCTCCCTCTCTGGCTGAAACCAGCAAATCGGAGGCAAAGAAAGCAAAGTACTTTTTCTAACACTTGCAAATAGGTCAGGAACACCTTTTTAAAAAAAACACCTTAGCCTGGGTCTGCATAAAAGTTTTTTTTTTTTTTCCCTTAATGGTATGAAAGATGCTGTTTAAGGGAAAAGTATTTCATGATCTTTTTCTCTTTGTCATTCAGCCTAGTAAAACCAGTTTCTCCTCCTCTGGGAATCAAGGGCCAGAAGGATGGAAGCTCCCCAGAGAATGAAGCTTGAAGTATCTAGTTCCTAGATTGCGCAACTGAAATGATAGATTTATTTCTCAGTAACCCCCAGCCTCAATTTTACAAGCAATTGCTGAGGTTACTAAAGAAAGAAGCAGGGTTGTTCTGATTATAACCAAATGTCATTCCATATGACTTCATGGAAAAGCCCTAGAAGTCTCTGCTGGCCAGTGGGTCAGTTCCTCAAAAGGCCACTTCTATTCCTCCCCAAAGGCCACTCATTTTGGTAGCACTCTGACCTCACAACTCTCCCTGAGGCTTGCCAGGGGACATCTGGCCTTAGCTAATAAGCCCTCCAAAAAGGGCTAGGCATGTCATTCAGTGATAGAGCCCTTGCCTACCTACGATGGTGAAAACCATAGATTCAAAAACAACAAATCCTCTACAGAATCCCACCACTCTTCAAACTCATTGTCCAAACAGAAAGCCCTCTTCACAGAATCCATCTGCCAACCTAAACCAAGCAGCCGAGCATACGGCTCCAATCATTCCTCAGCCCCTCCTTTCTCTGGCCTGCAAGCTACCAGCCCTCAAAGCTTCCGACAAGGATGACCCCTCATTTCCAAGACAAAAAAGTAAACCAAGACCCTACCCCTATAGCTTGTGGTTGTTTCAGGCCAGCCATCTCCTGAACATGAGGTGGGGAACAATATCCTGGTCTCAGGTGAGCTTGTAATCTCTGCAACCTCCACAGCCAGAAGTGCCCTCCCCGGGGTTGGCAGGAAAGGTCTGCAGAGAGCATGTACCTTGGAAATTAGTTCATCATGATTGGCCAGGTGAGCCCTGCAGTGAATGCAGCTGTAGGTCCGATGGCAGGAGGGCAGATATGCCTGGAAAGTCTTGGATCTTGTCATCTTCACCATTGGCGCCGCAAAGCGTGGGGTGAACTCTGGGGCCGCCCACGAGGCCCTCCCACAGGATGGGTCACACGGGAAACACCGGAAGACACAGGTAAAGGCCGTGGTTTGGCGGGGGGTGGTGTGGGGCAGGCTCCACACACTGGTAAGTCTTCAGAGCAAGGACCCTCAGGCAGAGGTCTAGGGCTGGTTCTCAGCAACCTGCAGGGCCAAGGTAAGGGAAACAGCATTAGTGAGTGGAGTACGTCTTCCCCTAAAACAAGCAGAGTCCAAGCGTCACCCAGAGGTACAACACGGGCAGGATAAAATGATCCCCGTTGGTCTGTTTCTTGTACTATGCCCAAGCTGCCCAGTGGATGTAACAGAAATCTCTCCTTGCTGCTTTTCTGAAGTTGGAAAGTCCTATCAGCTCAAAAAACAAGCAGAGTCCAAGCGTCACCCAGAGGTACAACACGGGCAGGATAAAATGATCCCCGTTGGTCTGTTTCTTGTACTGTGCCCAAGCTGCCCAGTGGATGTAACAGAAATCTCTCCTTGCTGCTTTTCTGAAGTTGGAAAGTCCTATCAGCTCAGCACTTTCAGCAACTACCCAGGTAGTTAGCAAACCAGTATCACTGCCATCTCCAGGCGATAGCCAGGGCTGAAGATGGCTCTGAATGGTCCCTGGGAGAGGCCTCTGAAGACAGCCACCCCACACCCAGCTGATGGAAGTGAGCTCAGCATGTGATAGTCACAGAGGGATGCCCATCAATTTCCAGATGCTAGAAAAGCCCATCACTTGAAGCTCCCATCTGCCTGTGCAGCCTGCTAACCCGCATCAGCCTTGCCTAGGGACTAAGCCTGGGATCCAAAGGATCAAATCCTCTGCTTGGGAGAAGTAGTTCCCTTTGCAATTTCTTATTCAAAAACTGATGCTCAGCATGTTTAAGAAAGGATAGTAAATGAATCAAATTGATGGTACATTCAGCCTCCTACAACTATCTCAAGGGGAGCGAACTTTCCCAGAATTTCTCCCTAACCCTCAGATTTCCCATATGTATCCCATAATACCAAACACCTCTAGCACCTCCTCAGCTCTCATTCTAGGGGAAGCTATGGACATGGAGAAAGTGGGGTGACTCCCAGGGTGACCAAGTGGGCAAGAGGGGAGGGCCCGAGGCTCTGCTTGTCACTGGCTCACCTAGCTGCGGCCCTGGCACCTGCCAATCCCTAGACTTCACTAATGGGGATGATGTTCCCACTTGCCTACCTCCCAGGAGAGCTCTGAGTGTTAATTAACACCTGCGTCATGCTTTGAAGATAAAATTATTTAGAGACAGGGAAGGAAGAAAAACAAAATCAGATCTTCCCTGCTGCACTGTGTCCAGGATCCATCCATCTGTGCATTTAAGAGAAAGCCGGTAAACCACAGTCTTCCTTCTCTAAACCTCACTGAAACCAACTCTTCTAAAGGGAAGCTGCCTGGGGCCAGCAGTGTGGCCTAGTGGTAGCGTACTTGCCTAGCACATATGAGGCCTGGGGTTCAAGTCTCAGTACTGAAAAAACAAATTTAGCCAAACCAAAACAAACTCTCAGGTCTAAAAACCTCAGTTAAATCCCCATCAATTCAATAGGCCAAGTGTGATACTTATAATCCTTGGGGGGAGGAGGGCAGGAGGACTGCCCTTAAGTTTAAGGCCAGCCTAGGCTGCAAAGACCTTGCCTCAAAACAAACAAAATTCAATAAAACCCACATCACTTCCAACAGGGGTTTATCAAAGAGAAGCTGCTCTCCTCCTGGCACCTTCTCCATACTCCTTAGACCTAGACTATGGCAACACTTTTTGCATGGCAACATTACTGCCAAGGCCTGGACTCAAAGACAACTGTGGTCACTAGGCCTTACCCTATGATGAGACTATTTCCCTTCTGCAACCCTGAACCACACAGGCTCCGTATCCACAGCAACCAATTACATGTGAGGTGCTCTGGGGATTCAGACCTACAGGGAGCAGGGCAAAAAGTCATCCCTGCTGGTCTTCCCCTACTATCTTTAAAGATGCGACATCAGGTTAAACTGTACATTATAGAAATGTTCGGAAAGACATGAAGGAGACAAATGACTGACTCCCTCATCTTTGCCTCCGAGTGCACAGGTCACGGGGCAGAAAAATACAAGCATGAACCCTCAGACCAGAGCCCCCTCCTCACATCCTGAACATCCCTTAGATGGGGGGGGGGGTGAGGGGAAGCTATTGGATGCTAAAGGATCACGGATGGTAGGAAGAGCCAGACCTCCCTGCAGGGATTTCCTGAAATACCCTCAACCTTTCCATACCTCTGCTCATCAGAAAAGAGGCCTTGCAGGAAGGCAGGGAAAATGAGTCGGAGGCTCCCCCAGGGCCAAATGCTTCTGAAGGCCAGGGCCCAGCTGCCCCAGAGGAGCACAGGAGGGAGTGAAGCACTGGGCCATCTTTTTACACAAACACCCAGGGGAGAAAGGAAAACAATGACCCTGGCTGCCTCTCCACGTTTACAGAGCAGCTAGAGTCTGTTTTCTTACGCATGCAGACAGCTTCTAAATTATGCATTTCCCTGGAGTACAATTATTTCTTTTCTCACTTCTCTTCTGTAGGAAACCAAAAAAAGTTCACAGGCAGGTTCTGAGTATTCTCAGCTTCAAATTCAAACCCCCAAACTTTCTTGGTTATCTTCTGCAGAACAGGCATTCGCAGTCTGCACTAAATGTCAATGTGTCACAAACATACATCCATGTACACACAAATTCATTCGCGCCTCATCCTCACTCTGCACATAAAAGGACAAGAGAAAACTCCATGGCATGAGCATGGCCTAGGCTGCACGGTGCTAGAGAGCCCCGCGGAGCTGAGACCACAGGCAGCAGGTTGCCTTGGCCGTGAACGACTCACGCTGGCCCTCTTGCTCCTTAGTGCAAATTCACAGGCATCCTAACGCGATGACTCCTTCCCTAGAAGAAAAGAAAAACGGCCTTGCTGAAAATGCAGCTCAGACAACTGATCCCAGGCAAGCTAGAAGGAACGAGAAGGCTGAAAGGGTAGGAAGGGAAAGCAGGCTGTCTGGGGAGAGAAGAGGCTGGAGAGCCAGGGCCTGAGAAGGCATCACCTAGTGTTGTGTGCGTCCCTTTTAGGCAAATGTTAAAAGGAAAATAAAATAGGTGGATTTCCCATAAAGAAGGGAATTCAGCTCCAGGGCTGTGGACTCGCCACCTTAACGTTTTGGACTTTGGTCCCTGTTAGCAGAGCCACAGGGTTCACGGCTGCATGAGTCCAACCCACTGAGCATTGGCGGAGTTCAAGCTGGTTTCCAACAATAATCACATGAGCTCTATATTTAAAAGCCACTGGGCACACATATAGATTAAACAGTATTTTAAGTGAACTAATCATATTATCACAGTGGCAATTAAAGGAAGATTTGCTGCCACCCTCAGTGGGCTCACACTGACCAGCATGGAAAGCAAAGATGTGATATATTATGATTAAAAACAAAGATCTTAGCTACCCCACCTCAGAGCCAAATGCACAGGCAGCGCATGCCAAACCCGACTGGCCCACCTCACTGACAGATGGGCTCCTTCCACCACGAATCACAGCGACAGCTAGAACTCAGGCCCCAAGCTTCTGAGTGTTGCTAGGAGGGCAGAGAGCCAGGGCCACATGGTTTAGTTACGCCATGAAGAACGTGAGGAGTGAGGCGATTGCAGGCTGGATGGACACACACGGACGGACACACACACACACACACACACACACAGAAACTGACCGTACAGGTAGAACTTGCCACAGGAAGCAACTCCTCCAGCCTGCACTGAACCATCCACCAACATCTATCTCTGTGTTCCTGTTTTCTTCAGGTGTTTTGGTGGCGAGTAGGCGAAGCCAGGAATAGAAGTGGGCTCTGGAATCTCACAAACCAGTTCCACTCCCTCCTAGCTGGTTGACTTTTGGCAAATTATCCAACCACTCTGACCCTCAGCTTCCCTACCTCTAATAATAGCAAACAACACCAACCTACACAGGGTGCTAAGTATTAAATGAGATGACCTAACCGGGTGTGGTGATGTGCGACTGTAATCCCAGCTACTCTGGAGGCTAAGGCAGGAGGATTGTGAGCTCAAGGCCAGCCTGGGTGTCCTAGGTCAGCCTGAGACACCAAATGAATAACAAAAACAAAAAGAAAAAAATAAAAAGAAAGAGCTCAGAGATGACCTAAGTGCTCATACAGTGCTGGCACACAATACACACAAGTAAGTGTAAGCTATTATTTTTAGTGGTCAGTGAAAAATAAAACAGATGCTAATACTTAAAAACCAAAAAGTAGGAAACAAAACAAAGAAGTTTGGGTTGAAGCTGAAGCCAGTGTGCAGGCAGATGCATCCCAGTGACATTAGGATACTTTTACCCTCCAAGACAGGTCCACCGAGACATCTCTCCTGACCTCAGAATCCCTTTTCAGGGCGACACAGTAGTTAACAGTGCTGCAGAAGCCACAGAACACATGGGCACTGAGGTCCTACTACCAGGCAGCTTCACAGCCCCTTACGAGTCTTGGAAGGTGCCTGAGCTGCTTTCTCCTTCTCTCCATCAGCATTTCAGCCACTCTTGTCTATTTAAAAAGCAGCTTCACATTGGCCAGGCAGATGGCTCAGTGGAATTAGCGCTTCCCTGGCAAGTGCAAGGGCCTGAGTTCAATACCCAGTTCTCAAAAAAAAAAAAAAAACCAACAACTTCACAGTCAAGACACGGGAGCACACACCTGCAATCCTGGCGCTCTGGGAGGCTGACACAGGATCAAAAAGTTCAGGCCCAGCCTAGGTAACTCAGCATCTTAGAAAGATACCATCTCAAGAAAAGGGGGGGCATGGAAGGTCTGGGGACATAGCTCAACAGTTGAGTGCCACTGGGTTCAATCCCTAGCACCAAATAATTTTTTTTTTCCTTTAGAGAAGGGTCTACAGGGTGTTCAGGGTCTCGCTACTAGATCAGACTCTAGTGATTTGCCTGTTTACAGCCTTCCAAGAGCTGGGATTACAGGTGAACACCACCACAACTAGTCTCAATTGCTTCTCAGCATGCCCCGGGGGGTAGGGCTGGCACAGCAGGCCTGGGGATCGGACCTCTGGCTCCTGTCCTGCTTGAAGACGCTTTAATCCACTAAGCTATTTGGCCAGCCCTAAATAA